AGATGTGGCAGTGGAAGGTGTCAAAGCAGTTTGGAGAGAAAAACAAAGTAAAGAACAAAAAAAAGAAAACGATTAATCAATTATTAAATTAGTCATCGATTATTTTAATAATCGATTAGTCGTCAATTAATCGATTAATCGTTGCAGCCCTAATAATTGAAAAACACTAGCTAAAGACTACATGTAGCGTAGAGTTGTTAAAAATAGCAAAATGGTAGCTATAAGCCAAAAGTTTCAAACGGCTAAAACAAGCAGCAAAAGTTAGCTAAAAGTCTTAATTTAGCTATAATAAACAAAAGTCTAGGAGCAAACAGCTCATTAAAATCTAAAAGTAATAAAAGCATAGATAACAAAACAGTAGCTAAAACTAAAACAAAATTCAGTTAAAAGCAAAACAACAACAGTAGCTAAGACTAAACAGCATAAAAAGACAAAAACAGAAGTAGGTTTTAAAGAAAACAAACATTTGAAGCAACAGAAGAGATACTGTAGTTTTATGTGGGAAATGTATCTGTAAAAAAAAGTTAATTATTTTGAAAAGTGTGGAAATCACAAAAATCACAGCACTCATCAGTTGAACATGCTGAACGATGGTGAAAATAAAGTATTTAGGAGTTGTTCCCACTTCAGCCTTCTTTACCCACACACAACGTCACACACAGTCACACACCGTCACACACAGTCACACACACAGTCACACACACCTGCCTTTCTGTTTCCCACGGTCTTGTATCAATTCCTGTTTTGAAACAAACAAAATCTTGCTCTCATTAACACGCAGGGATAGGGTTGGGTATAATCATATTGTTTTCATTTAATCGTCAGAAAAACATGAATCGATTATTTTTTGGCACTTGACCATTAATACGATTAATGCCATCAGGCAGACTGACTGGAGTTTTCTCCAGTCAGTCTGCTGTGTGCTCCTCTCCACTTCAAATATGACGAACATTAAAAAAACCGTTCTTGTAATTGTTTTATTTATCAACACAATTTAAAATTTGATGTACAACCTGAAGTCTGTAATTTTGATACAGTTTGGAACAAATTTTTACGAAGAGCAAATCTTTCCCACTAAACTGGTCAAGTGACCAGGACACAAAGGTGTCCAGGGACTCCAGGGGATTAATCRTCAAAATAATCGTTATCGGCTAAATACCACAATTAATCGTGATTGTTTTTTTGTTTTTTTGCCAATATTGCCCAACGCTACACAGGGAGTTATTCARTCTCTGGTTAAAAATCTGGGGCAGCTGTAAGAGTGGTTGGGGGACTCGTTCTGTAACCAAAAGGCCGGTTTGATCCCCCGTTCCAGCCATCCTTGGGCAAGACACATGCCTTGCCTACTGATGGTGGTCAGAGGGTTCGGTGGCACCGGTGCATGGCAGCCTCGCTTCTGTCAGTGTGTGAATGTTGGTGTGAATGGATGAATGTCTGTAAGTGTAAAGTGCTTTGGGGTCCGGAGGGACTTGATAAAATGCTATATAAGTTCTGGTAAGCTCTGGTATTTTTTCTCGTCTGTTGCATAAACGCAGTAGGAGTCCCGTCTTCTTCATCTCTTTTTGTTGTTTGTTAGTTTTTTTTTTTTTTTTGTCTTCTTATTTTAATTTTTGTTGGTGTGGTGACCGGTTCTGACTCAGAGTCCGACTCCACATCGCTGCGTCTTCACAGCTCTGACTCCAGGAGTTACCCAGGAGCTTTTATCTCTGGGATGAATCCACCGCTTTGAGGCAAAGTAAATCAGATCATCACAGTCTCCGACAGTGAACATCAGATAAGTTTACTTCTTGATGGTTCAATAATTGTTATTGATAGAGTTCAGACATTTTCAACATTAATAATAAATAATTTAACACCTTAATGTGTAATATTTTACCTTTTTTAAATTTCTCCATTAGTGCTTTTGGGCTTTTGCTCGTTTTAAAATTTATTAGTGGATTAGCACGTGCTAAATATATAGGCTAAATTTAGAAGCACTAACTGAGGTTTTTAAATGTTATTGATCATTATTGTTAACAGCTGACCATGAAAGCTGTCGCACATTTTGCTCATATGTCACTTATCCACTAGATGACAACATATTAACAATATATGAACTCAAATACGGCTGTGGAATGTCGATAAGTCTTAAGAGAGCAACATGACAATATGTGACTCATGCTGTCTGTTGAAAAATGCTCATGGGTTGACTGGGTTATTTTAGTGCTTTAGAATTAGCTTTTGCTAATTTTTCAGTGTGTTAGTGCTTTAGATTTAGGGGACCTAAATATTTGAGTTAGTGCTTTAGGGCTAGTGGAACTACTTTTTAAATTAGTGCTGCCCACCACTGGAAATAAGTGTTAAAATCCTTCAAATAAAAGAAAAGCTTTTTACTGAAAAAGCTCTGTTCAGATGTTCTGTACATTTTGAAAAAAAAAAGTGCTGGATAGGAACTATTTTCTCTACATTATGTGGTCATAAAAAGTTTTTTTCGTGTTTTCAGCTTCACAGCTAAACGAGAAAAGACTGATTTTTTTTTATGTCTGAGAACCATTTCATCCCCAGCAGTTTTTCTGTCTCGGCTCTGAGTATTATGGTGGGAAGAGGGACTGTGGGCCTTGTTGCTGGCTGTGTAATGTCAAATCGATGCCTGGTGCGTTTCAGGTTTCACAAATGAAAAATACAAGCAGATTTGATCAATGTACAGCGAGGTGTATGACTGTAGGCTTGTACTGCTTATGTAATACAAGAGAGATCCATACGGCAGGCTCACCGGCTGACGTGAATCTATGAATCAAGATGAAAATCAGCTCTTTTGGCTCAGGATTGACACGTCTTATTGACTGAGGAAGTCAGACAAATCTGTGGGTACAGGGGCACGTGGCAAAAGTTGAGAAATTATCCAGATTGCATTGGACAGTGGTGTGTAATCCTGATCGTAGAGGGTCAATATCCTGGCTGCACGCTTTAGATGATTCTCTGCTTCAACATCTAATTTGGATGAATGGGTGATTAACAGGCTTCTGCAGAACATGAAGAGGTCATTTAGTCATAGAATCAGGTGTGATGGAGCAGGAAACCAAGTAAAACAAGCAAAGTAGTGGCCCTCAAGGACCAGCACTGGTCACTACTGGCAGACGATGCTGCTTTTGGATGATTAAAAACTTAAACAGATACTTTGTGCCACCCATCGGTGCCTTCAGAAAGTATTTAATGGGACAAATACTGTATGGGGCTACTGAAAATGCTGGGGTGGCACAACAAAACCTTAAAGTAAGAAAAAAAGTCTGTTATGTTTTATTCATTTCAAGGTTATTTGACAAATACAACACTGGTGTTGGGTCTGCTTTATGTTTTTGTTTTTATTCTTATTTTATCAGTTATTATTTTTACAGTTGTATCACTGTATTATTATTTAAGCTTGTCCTCTCCTAAATGTATATTTGTAGAAAAAAACACTATGTACTGTATATAACCTCCTGAGATCCTGCATCCTTATGATGAGGACATTGGTTTTGGACTGGTTGCCACGGAGGTAATTTTATTTTTTAAAATCAAACAAGAAGCCCTATCAATCAAAATAAAACACTTTCAAATAAATAAATAAATAAATACAAAATTTCAACCAAAAAATAATAATTTCAACCAAACAAAAAAGCTATTTCAATTAAAAAAATTAAATCAAAAAGTTTTTGTGGAACTCGCTTCAGTCCGCACTAACCAATAGAGACACGTCTAGTTCCTCCTTAGGCTCCGCCCAAGATGTTCATGTTCTGAGTTCAAAACTTTTTTGAGTTCAACCAAAGTTTCAACCAAATGTTACCTCCATAGAAGACAAAAGATTTAAGCATTGCTTCATTGTCATCCTTCAAAAAAGGCAAACTATAGTCAAAGATTTTCTATTGATAAGGTTCAAATGTGGACACAAGTCCTACATTGGTTTTTTACAGCATCTGGTATTCCCATGTGGTCTCCCATCCAAGTACTAAACAGGCCCAACCCTGTTAGCTTCTGAGAGCAGATGAGATCTGGCAGGTTCAGGATAGCATGGCTGCTGTAATAAACAAATAAATAAACTATTTATTTTGAATATTTGACCAAAATGTCTACAACTCCATCAATTCTCAACTGAAAATGATTTAAGCATAAAACTCTGGCTTGAAAGACAGCGGGCAATACGCATTTTTGCACATTTTATATTTTGAATGCTTTTTTTTTCTGTCACTCTGCTGAGAGAACAGTGTTGCTTGTGATTTTGTAATTTTCGTAAGAGTTTTGTTTATTTTCTTCTTTGTCCACAACCTGGTTTGTTAAGTTTCCAAACTGTGTTCTTTCATCGTTATCTCTGTCTATACTGGTGAAGATTCTCAGTTATCCAGGTCACGATCAATATAAAAAGAGTCAAAGGCTTTTTCAATTCATGTGAATATGAATGTGAATCCAAGTCCTCGCATGGCTTCTCAGGTGGATATTTTAAAGCCAGCATCTCAGCTCACTGCAGACTGAACTGAAAAAGCCTCCTGGATGGGAAGCGAAACGTCTTCAACTTTAGAATTGAAAGTCCGGTTGTTTTTGTTTTTAACTCTTTTTTGAGATATCTGTGATAGTATTTATAGTACATGTACATACAGTATTGGTCCTTTTTATGTAAGGTATTTTTATTTATTTGCTTTGTGCTCAGAAATGTCAGGAGTAATTTTGTTTTTACTGCACTGTGACTTACACTTTTTTATAATGTGGGCGCTAAATTTGATCAGGCTTCCTTTGTCACCTGCGCTTCTATAAATAGCTGCTGCTGTGAGAAAAGGTTGAGCTTAATAACTGCTTTTCTGGCTTTCTTCAAGGATCTCAGGGTTATATAACCTGCGAGGCACACATCACTGTTACGCTCTGCAGTGGAATGTTTTCTTTACTTTTTTAGTGATTGTCTTTTCGGATCACTGGAAAAGAAAAGAAACTGAAACGTGCAGAATTTTAAAAAGTGACACCGTAAACAATTGTTCTGCTCTGTGTGTTTTCAGCCATGTTCACGGAGGTGCCTCATGACATGACGGCTCAAAGAGGTCAGGACGTGGAGATGGCCTGTTCCTTCAGAGGAGCAGGAACTCCGTCATACTCACTGGAGATCCAGTGGTGGTACATCAGGAACCACCTGGACTGGACGGACCGACAACCTTGGACCACTAATGAGGTCTTTTTTATTTTATTTTTTACAATCTTTAAACAAAGTTCTCTCGTTTATTTATTTAATTTTTTTTAAACAGAGTTCTCTCTGATAAAACTGATATACCATTTATTATACTTACAGGAATCATTGTGGAAATACTGCTATATTGAGCAGTACACTATTGTTGCCTACTGATCAGGCGAGTCTTGTGATTGGTCAAAAATATATACTTAGCACAAAAAAGGAAGAATATTTGTGTTTGATAGATCATTTTTTGTTGCAACAATGCTTCTTGGCGATAAAACTTATGATTGGTAGCACCTGGCGGTACCAGAAGCCAGTGGCGTCACTAGGCCTATTTTAGGGGGGCTGGAGCCCCCCTAAAATACTGTATTTTAAAGCCCCCCTAAATTATTTTGGTGTAAAAAAATTTTTTTTTACAAAAATTCAATATGATGTGGTCAGAATAAATAACCATTTAATATTTCATTATTAGCTAAAATATATTATCATAAATATGTCAGTTTCCCTTTAATTTATAGTGTAAGGCAGAGATCGTCTTTGGTGCGTCGTTATCCAATCCATTCCACTTGTTCATATAGAGAACTCCTACACCACATGAAATCCAGTCCACGTTTTTCCTGCAACCTTAATAGCAGCATGCTAGCAAGTTTAAACACCAGTGGCATCACTAGGCCTATTTTAGTGGATCTGTGTTCGACTACTCCACCTATAGGCTGCATTTTGAGCACAGATCCACTGAGAAACTTGCTGTTTCAGCAACATTTAATTTAAAAAACTGTACTTTTTAGGTTGAACAAATGTTCATAATTAATTTAAATAAATTACAAGTTAAAAGGGGCATGAAAATTTCTCTATTTTGTATCGAAAAAATATCGAACCGTGAGACTAAAGTATTGAACCGAACTGAATCGTGAATTTTCTGTATCGTTGCACCCCTTAAAATATATATACACACACACACACACACACACACACACACACACACACACACACTACAAATATATATATTTTATACAAAAATTATGTGTGTCTCCTGGGGGCTAAGCCCCCCTTGTCCTTAAAACCTCGTGACACCCCTGCCAGAAGCTCCAAACAAGTGTCAATAGCAGCAGAATTAGCTGTTTGGAGGAGAAGGCCTGGCACATTTTTTATGTGTGTAACCCACATAGTCAACTCTACTGCTCATTCTACAAATGCATGTTCCTTACAAATGTGGCACGATTAAAAAGGAAAATTAATAGGCTTTCCAATAGTGTAAGAATTGTCACAACAAAGAAATAATCTACCAAACACAAATTTCATTACTTTTTTGTTAAGTTTACATAGCTTCTACTTTTAGTAAATGTTTTTTTTTAATTTTGATAAAATGATTTAAGAAATGATGATGCTGAAATGTTCAGATGTTCACAAATTGCTTTTAAATGTCATATTTAGATTTTTTTTGTTTTGTTTTTAGTAGCAACTTCAGCAAACTATAGTCTAATTCTAAATGCGTCACCTTCTCCAATTTCGGTTTCCAGAAGCTTGACGATGGATCATTTGATAACTCGGACTGAGCCATAGCCTTTATTGTTTTAGTCTCCGTGTATTTATGTTCACATTAAGACTAAGTTGATCTTGTGTTTCCTTTCTAGGTGGCTCCGGAGGAGGAGACGCCAAAAGATGCCACAAAGATAAGCGTGAGTCATCTCAGTCTGCTGGAGTTTTCAAGGGGAATCTTTTACGTTTATTTTTGTGTCACATGATGGCATAAGGCAGAAAATCCTTTATGTTTTATCTCTAAATGATCCACAGATGTTCAGTCAGCTGTAACCCTCAGCTCAGCAGCTGCTCTCCGTCGCACATTAACACCTTCGCCTCGTCCTCGGCGGCTCTGCGGTGCCGGAGTCAGCCGAAGACCAGGCAGTGGGGGCATGTGGGTGGTTAAGAGGCCTGCTTGAGAGGATGAGGCTCGCAGTGCATCATCTTCAGATTCTAATAAACCCCCCTTCATCTTTATTGCTACAGTGCCACATCCTGGTGACAAACATCGCCAAGGAGAGGCTGCAAAGTCAGCAGAAGATCTTGTTTATCCTCTTATATCCACAGAGCCCGGGCAGTTGGGCTGTGAGGATATCTGGAATCTAATAAAAAGCAGGAAGTGGCTTTGACTCAGGGAGACATCCTTGCTCTGAGTGATTTAATATATTGACTCGTTCCCTCGATATGAACTGCAAAAAAAGCAGAGAGGAAAAACTACCAAACACCGTCTTCTTTAGATTTATTTTCTTTTTGCTTAAAGAAGTCTTACCTTTTAGTCAAAGGATTATTATATTTCAGAGCATATGCAGATTAAGTACATTTACTTTGATAATTGGACAGAAACAAAAACTTGAAGCTGCTCTTTTTGCAGCTGATTGGCTGTAATGAAGCACGAGCTGCGCTCTGAGTGACTGATGTGTGTGTGTGTGTTCGTGTGGGCGGAGTCAAACACCGCAGGCTGTGCGGCTGTAAAATCATAAGCTCTCTCTACATAAAAGATGCTGGCTCACATCCACGTAGTCAAACAAATCCGTGACGGATCCTTACATATGCAAACTCACAAACAGCGAGCATTAAGTGCTAAGCTTGTATTACATACAGGAACAGGAGGAACAAATCACAATCTTCTGCCCCTTCACGGCAAAACTACATTTGGTTTTTGTAGCTTTTATACTTGTTTTTTTATGTATTAGTTAAACCTTTATTTAACCAGGTAGATCTCATTGAGATTAAAAACCTCTTTTTCAAGAGAGACTGGGCCAAGAATGGCAGCAGAACACAGACATTACCAAATAAATAGATGAAAAACAAAAAAACATGGGTGTAATTTGCAGGGGGGTTGAGGGGGTTTCTAACCCCCACATAAATTAGATTCAGTCAATATAACCACCCCAATAAAACTACATTCGCTCTAACACRGTAGAAATTAAATGGTTAAGTACACAGCTGCAAGTCGTGGTCTTCAGGTAACTGTGACCTGATTTTAAAGTTGACGATGTCATATCTGTAGAATAATTGCTGAAAATGCAGGRTTTTAGTCTGCTCTYGTCAYWTTAAGGCTKTATTTGTTGAATCGTGTGTTAAAAATTTCCTAGCCAAATTGTAGTACACCAGGTGGATGTATACTTTTAAAAAATTGAGGAATTTAGGTAGGAATCATCCTCAAGATATAAAATATTTGTTACTGATGGAAAAATGGGAGGGCAAGCCCTTTTTTYAATTGTTGAACTGACGTGGAACAGAAAGGTGCAGAGTAAATACAAAGAAAACAGGAAAGTTGTAAATCACAGTRAAAGCATTACAATGCATTTTAACCCAAAATATCCTGAATACAAAATTAAATAATTCAGTAATTAAATAAATAGGCAGAGAGCATTTATCACCCCGCCCCCCAATAGTAGACCTAAAGTTACACCCTTGCAAGAAACACAGTTAGACACGACTAAAAGAGAGCACAAAATCAKTTAAAACATTTACAAATGTATTCTTAACTTCATTCACAATATTTTTTCTTATAGAAATGCAATGAGAACCTTCTTAAAATTTACTTTAGCATACTAGCTTTATTTTAGCTTTCAGCTACAGGAACCATAGATCTAACTATGGATCTCCATTACTGTTCTTACAATTTTGACATTTACCTTCTACTTTTTTACTTTTAGCTTTTAACAGAAGTTTTGCAAATTGTAGCTTTGGGTTAATGTTTTGCTAATGAAAATTTTTTTAGCCACTGCTACAAATGTTAGTTTTTAGCTACCATTTTGTCAAATTTTACTCATATCGTTTAGCTGATTGTAGCCTTCATAAAATTGTGGTTTTTAGCTTTTTGTTAGTGTTTGCTTTAAGCAGCTGTTTTGCTGGTCTTGACTTGAAATACATTTTTTTGCAAATTGTAGCTTTAGATTAATGTTTTGCCAATTTTGAAATTTTAGCTACTGATACAAATTTGAGTTTTAGCTACCATTTTCTTAAACTTTTACTGATATCGTTTCGCAGATTATAGCCTTCATAAAACTGTTGTTTTTAGCTTTGTTAGTTTTCGCAGCTGTTTTGCTGGTCTTGACTTGAAATACTGCACTTTTCGCTAATATTACCTTTTAGTTATTCTTGTGCTAATTTAAAATTTTAGCTACTGCTCATTAAATCTTGTAGCTTCTGTTTAAAATTTCCACCCCAACATCGGCTTTCACGTTGTCTCTCGTCGGCAGGTCGTGAAGGTCGTAGGAAGCAACATCTCCCATAAGCTCCGCCTCTCTCGAGTGAAGCCCACTGACGAGGGCACCTACGAGTGCCGCGTGATCGACTTCAGCGACGACGCCGGCGCCCGCCACCACCGCGTCAGGGCGTACCTGCAGGTCGTGCCGGAGAGCCACGCCCTCGACGCCAGACATGGCGGCGGCGGCAACAACTTCGACGCCGCGGACGACACCAAGCGGGAATTTGTAGACGGGGAGTCGCACGGCGGCACCAGAGAGCACGATCACCACCAGAACCACGAGCACCACCCGGAGCAAGGCAAGCGGCCCTCGTCAGCCGTCCACCACGGACACAGCCACGGCGGCAGCAGTCAGCAGCACAAGGCGGGCAGAGAGCTGAGGCAGAGGGACATGGACAGTAACCACAGCCACAATGACTGCAGCAACGAGCCGAGCTGTGCGCTGTAAACCGCCGGCGCAGCGCAGAAAGGTTACATTAATGTTGGTCACAGCATAAAAAGCTACTCCTCTCACACAGTGCAGGCCTGCAGGCGCATCCACAATCCATTGAAATGTACAATATGACTTATTAGAGGCACGGAGGTGTGACCTGTGAAGGGAGCGTGGCTTTTTCTTGCTGTGCATCGGTCTGGGAGGGACTGCTCTCTGTCTGTAAACTGCCTGTTAACGCCTGGCTTCTCAGCGTTCAGCAACAGGGCGGGGGGCGGCTGGTATGTAGATCTAGGCAGCTCCACTGTTTCTGGTATCGGCACCAAAAATAAACAAAAAGAAAATGAAACAAATAAGTCTTTAGTTCTATTATTAACCAGTGATTTGTTCCGCTCTTGTATTTTAAATACTGTAAATGACATTCTTTCATCCTTTCACTGCCTTACTCAGCGGTTTAACAGCCCTGGAGGAAAAAAAAAAACAGCTACTATAAGAGTTTGTAACAAAATCTATCCTTATAATATAACTTTCTTATTCTCAGTGATTAAAAACAAAAGTCTGCCTATTTTATTTTACTTTTTTCTCTCTTGAAATGTTAAGTTTGACTCCTGGGCTTTAAACTTGCTTCATTAAATCTTTTTGCTTATTCGGTAATGGATATGATTATGCTGTAAAAGCCGCACACACACACCCAAAAGTTAGCAAGTTATTTCTCCTCGTGTTTGCTCTCCGTGGGGGAGAAAAACTTGTTTTCTTTTGCTCTCTTCAGCAGGATTTCTTCAAGGTCCCAAAGCAGCAGCAGCACTCATCAAGGACAGATTCRGTCTTCATTTATTTCGCTCTGAGTGAATACAGGAGGAGTTCAGAGAGTGTGGGATTTCAGTCCAAAACAAAGAAACCCYCTTTTTGTTCTGCAGGTTCAATCCATTCTTAGTTGTTTAGCCTGAGAGAAATCAATTCATCTGCTCCATGTTGGCATTGGAAAAGATTAAATCCAAGGCGCTAAATTAACAATTGGGTTAGATGTGCCTCGGAATATCAGCTAAAACTAAAAAAAACGACAAACTATGATCTTGGTGGAATAAATAAAAAATATACATTGTTGTGAAGTCGTATTCGCCTGTTTTTGCTTTTTTTTAAATACACGTTTCAGATCATCAAACAAGTGTTAAAATGGGACAGATAAACTGGGTAAATGCAGCACCAGTTTTTAAAAAATATCTAAACCAACCAGGTCCTATGCTACGACGGAGTATTAGGGCCACRCAATGAGGTTTATTTTATTACTATTATGAGAATGAAGTTATTATATTACAAAAAAAGTCATAATCTTATATTTTCCGTTCCTCCGTTCCTCATTTCCTCCTTATTTTCCTCACACCTGCTGTGTACAGCCATGTGTCTGTTTATGAAAGAGTCCACGATGACTTGGGTCTGTTAGATTAATATGCTTTCAAATTAGCTACATGACGACTAAATCTGTCAATGCATCCATTAATTACATTACGGCTTCAGTTTATTCGTTTGCACAATTTCCAAGTTCTGCTACTGATAATTTGATGCTAATCTGCTAAAAGATTAACTATTTATGTTAAGTAATATTAAAGAACAACTTGACAAGTTGGTCAACATTCCTCATTTTAATGCAGTGATAACTGCAAGCTTTTTCGTATAAAGGCTAGAATATTGTGACTTTTTCACGTAACATTACGACTTTATCCTCATAATATTACGACGTTATCTTTATACGATTTTAACATCGTAATTTAAGACTTTATTCTCGTAATTAAAAAAAATCTTGTGTGGCCCTAATACGCTTTCATAATATCCAGCCCCTCGTCCTTCGCTTTGCTTCGTACAGGGGGTCTGGACTCTCGGCTATTGACAAGCGATTTCTTGCTGGAGGCGTGGCCTCTGTTGRAGTTTAAAACAATTAGATCTGATTWATCCAATCGCTAACATTTGGCCGTGACGTACGTAGTGCGCCAGCTGGACCGTGAAGGAAGCTAAGCTAAGAAGCTAACCGGTGTAAACGAACATCCCCTACTGGGAGGAGAGAAGCACCGAACGGAACAGACAGCTGTAAATGAGCGCCGCAGGCTTTGTGAGACAAATTTAATTTTATTTGGAAGCTTTATCAACACGGACTGGCTTCATTCTCTTCCTCCGCTGCCATTGCTAAAMTATAGGCAGACTAAAATGGCGAAGAAAAATGTTGTAGTCGTTCACAACTCCTCCTGTTTGCTGATTGGCCCATTTGAAATTCTACCAGAGAAATCCTTKTCTATTGGAGAAATCCCAGACGGAGCAGAGAAGGGAAACTAGAATTGAGCGAAACTGTGTAAAAACTGGTTGTGCCTCTCTTGGCAGCAAGTTGATAGAAGTAGTTTCTACCCATAATAACTAAAATGATTATTAGAAAACAGAATTTTGTGTTTATTCGTATTATCTGATTGCTGATCTGAAATATTTAAATGTTTAAAAAAAGCAAAACTGAAGGAATCTGTAGGAGACAAATATTTTTCCACCAGTGGTGGGCCCAATACTAGCCTGAAATTCTCGTACTTGTACAAAAACACAGATACTTCATACTGWTGCTTGGTGACGTAATTCTCCTCGTCCACTTTGCAAAGGTGAAAAATAAACATGTCCTTATTTGAGATATTTTAAGCTGAACGCAGGTGTTAGGACAGCAGACGGTTTGCTGTGTTTTTAAAGTCATTGTGTTTAAGTACTAACTCATTAACTACTCCATATCTGTAGTGGTAAGTACCAAATCTGAAACAGTACTCGATCCAAAACAGAAACTGGTATCAGGACACTAGTTTCCCCAACACTTCATGAATCTATTTTTGGTTCTCCCAGCTTGCTTTTGTTCTTCTCCATCCCAGTACCCATCTGTTATATTAAAAAAAAAAAGGCCTCAATCTTCTCCACTGCAAGCCTCTAATCCACTTTGTATATAAGGCTGTATAATATGAAACAAAGTTAGTGCATGTTTAGTAATTTTCTTAAAAAATTAAAAAATAACTTTTTCAACCGACACAAAGGCAACACGTTTTTATTTTTTTTTGTCGTACAAATTTGGGTTATTTTAAAAAAGATTGCACCTCTGTCTTTTATAAATATATTTTCCTTTTACTTTAATTTTTTTGTTTGTTTTCCTGCTCTCCAAAAGTGCTGTACAGACAAACGAATGACACGTTTTCTTTACAGCTGCTCAGAGAAGGGGTTTCCCTTACGTATCTTAGTACTTGCAGTGTTTCCTATAAATTATCGTACGTGGAGGGGCCGCAGTTAATGTAACCAGGTTTAAATGGGCCCACTGACGTGAGCGTCTTGGTCTGAGAAGGTTCAAGAAGCCATTTGCTTGTACAATGCTCAAGTCTCATTTGTGAAAGCAGAACAAGAAGTGTACTTTTCACTCTGAAGGGGTTCGTTTAGGACAAGGTTCATGTTAGATAAAGCCTTGAGCAACAGATGGGAGAAACTAAAGAAAACTTTTAGAGAAACACTGATATTGACTTTTCATTTTGTTTTAAAATACTTTTTTTTCTTTCAAAGGCCACGAGCGTTCATTTATTTTTATTTTACCCCTCTGCTTTAGAGGAACAACAGCCCTTTTGTTTCAGTTGTCAGTCACTGTTTGCAGGCGGAGAGGTTGATTTGCTGAGGTTAGTATGACTGCTTTTGTATTTTATTTTATTTATTTGAAGGAGTAATTTTGATTTAATGTTTTGTAACAAAAACAAATAAAAAAAGGTCACTGTTCTTCTAGAATGTTTGGTCTCACATGAAGTGTATGCCTTTATCAAATGGAATAAATTGTATATTAAATAACAACAAACTTGGAGTTAGCTTTTTTTTATGTAAGTTCACAAACTCGTTTCTGTCCGAGGCGTTTCTACATCATCGGATTTAGCTTCCGGCTCCTGCTCTGTGCATTAAGGAAAAACAACGTTAAGAAGTGTGTAATGGGTGCTGTCAATGCCCCCCCCCCCCCCCCTCGCTGCTGATGACTAATGGTGCTATTGTCAGCAATGGCAGCAGGATAAATAGCGGCGGGCCAGAATGAGATAAAGAGGAGCTGCACCGTGCTCACTAGCATTAAGCCAGGCCAGCTAAATACAAAACATGAGGTAATCTTGTTTTCTTACCAGCTTCATACGTTCATTATGGAGGAGAGAAGGTGTGTGGTGGGGGTGGGGGGGGGCGTGTTCAGGTAATCCTGTCATTGGGGGGAACTTTATTTTGTCTTCATTTACACGTGATCTCTTGAACCCTGCAGGCGTCCGATAACAGCCAGGCTCGTTCCTGACCAGYTTTCCTGTCGTGAAGGACTTGATTTGTCCGCCGTTACACAACTTTCTGCCCTGGAGCGTCTCAGCTGGGGTGAGGAGATGAGGGGGAGGGGTGGTACCAACATACACGGGAAGAGAGAAAGTACCTAAAAAAGTCCCAAATGAGTTTTCAAAGCAGAATCTTCTAGCTGCAGGGCAACGGTGTTCACCAGCTGCACCACTGGGAAGCTCAATAACAAATCAAGTTCTGTTAGGAGTTGACCCATTAGGTCCATTGGACTCATATTTTAAACAAAGTATTGATCCGAAATATGCAAAACTAGAAATCTACACCTATTTCCCTAAAGTGCCCATCTACACACTACAGATAAGGATTTTAAAGGTATTATTGAGAAGATATCAGATTTTTTTATGGGATCAAATATGAAATTTAAGGATGTTTATTTAAAATAGCAGGCGTTTATTTATTTCTTTGTAAAATAAAGAAATAACATAAAAAAAGAACATTTGCATGTATAATATAAGCCTGTTAAACATGAAACGAGTTCATGGAGAGGAGCTTTCATCCTTCAGCAAAGCTTTTACCTTTTTTATTTTCACGTCTACATCGACRCTCCTGAAGCTGCTGGTCAGGAAAGTTGTTGTGTTTTCTTGTTAATCGATCTGAGTCAGTGAGTCGTGGTTCAATATGGCGTCAGTTTTAAGAGATGAGCCTGTCGCGTCAATCAGCAGCTCGTTTAGCTGACTGACTCGTTAACTGTCACAGAGTCCTCCGGGCCGAACTCCTCCCTCAGCAGTTTCAGCACGTTCTCCGAGAACTCGTCCCTCGGTCTGCCCGACCCGCTCAGCTGGAGGGGCTGGAGGTCGGGGTGGGGCGGGGCGTAGGGGGACAGGCAGTGCAGCTCGTTCAGCGTAAACCAGAAGGCGTCCGGATCCACCTGGATTAGGTGTCGGAAAACGCTGTGCAGGAAAGAGAGAGAGAAAAAAAGATTATTTCTACTATTTGTTTAATAGTGAATGAGCAGCTTTAAACTTCTACACTTTGACTCTTAGATCTTGTTTTTATTTATTTTTTTTTTGTCTTTTACATAATTATTACTGCACAGACATATCCTGCTTTCAAATCCTTATTTTTCACATTTAATATAGAGTCTATATAAAATGGAACTGCAACACTTTGGTCTGTATTCCTCCTTATAGTAAATCCACAAGCCCCGCCCCTTTTCTGAGGTGTGCCTAATGATCTGTTTACATCATATTCCAGAACTGGGAAGTGGTAGTGACGTAATTTCCCAACAAACCGTATGAAATTGCATTCAGCTTCCAGACCGGGCATCTGTCTGGCAGCGCAGAAACTTCTTTTAAAAATTAATCAGAGATGTAGAAGGAAGAAAATATGACCCAAACAGACTATAAAGATGTCTTTGCAGCACAGGAGAGACTAAATTAAACTTTTCTGCACTCCTACAGACCCAAAGTGCACAACAAAATGCATTTTAATGGCTAAAAATTTGGATTTTGCAAACATATCCCCTTTAAATGAGCTTTATAAACTAGATTAGTTTAATTCAAAATATTGGAAATATTGCATTTTCATCCTGCTAAGTCCAGCTGTTTTATATACAGTAAATTAATGAGCACTATTCAAACAAGTATACATAATTATCAAATGTATTCTAAGTATTTTTTAGCGTGGAATGATTATTACGGGTCTAGATTCAAACACCTAAAACCAGCAGTGACACACTGTCCATTAATCAGGTCTTACCTGAGACAAGCCTCCTGCAGTCTGATTGGCTGTCGGCAGCTCAGGTAGGCCAGGCAGGCTTCACAAACAGCATCAAGGTCTGCTTCTCCTAATAACACCAAACAATATGTTCATTTATGTTACACAGAGTGCTATGGAAAAGTTCTGTTTGATCACAAAAAACCATTAAATCTGAGGGGCAAATAGTTTTTCACAGCACTGCATGAAT